CACCGGAGTGTTTGGGTCATGTACGACCAATCCCCCCGGTCAAATGCCTTCTCTGCATCCGTGGATAACAGCAGAAGGGGCTTCCGATGTTTCCGTGCATGGTGTTGTACAGAAAACAGGCGTAGCGTACTGTACCGAGCTTCTCGGCCTGGGATAAATCCCGTCTGGTCCACATGAACTAGATTCGGTAGTATCCGTTGAAATCTGGTCGCCAGGACTTTTGTCAGGAGTTTCGTGTCCACATTCAGTAGGGAAATTGGACGATAACTGCCGCATTGTTCCGGGTCCTTTCCGGGTTTGAGTATAACAGTTATAGTCGCCGTTAGGGATTCCACGCCAAATTGTCCCCCTTCCGTCACCTTATTGACAGCCTTTGTCAGCCACGGTAGTAAGATCTGGGCGACGTGTTTGTAGTAGCCCGTGGAGAATTCATCCGGTCCCGGAGCCTTCCCCGTTTTCGCACTTTTAAGCGCTGCGGCGAGATCGTCAGTGGTAATCAATTCCTCAAGCATAGACGCCGTTTCTGGATTTATTCGCGTCCGTACGGTGTCTTGTAGGTACGTTCGCATGTGTAGCGACGAATCCCGTCTATGAGTCGGGTCCTCCGATTGGCGGAGATTATATAGGGAGTTATAGTATTCTCGGAATTCCCCTGCTATGTCCTCCGGATACGGCGATATACCGCCTGATGGCAAGCGAATTTTTTGTACCTGTGTGCGCGTTACGTCCCCTCGGAGTAGGCGTGCGAGAAACTTCCCCCCTTTGTTCGCATGTGTGTAGAAAAAGTTTTTCAACCTTTGAAGCGATCGTAGGTGTTTTTGTGCAAGGAGGACTGTCAAGTTACGCCTAGCTTCCATTAATTCGCTATATATTTCGACTAGCTGTGAGCGCTTGTGCTGGAGCTCGAGGCGCGATATGGTGCCGTATAATTCAGTCATCGCGCGGGTTGCTTCCTTCCTTTTGCGGGTCGCAATACTAATAAGAGTGCCGCGTATGACACTCTTGTGTGCTTCCCATACGGATACCGGGGACATTTCATCCGTCCCGTTTTCCTCAAAGTAGTGCTCCAGTGCTTGGGAGACCTCGTTCCGCACCGCGAGGTCCTGGAGCAGGGATTCGTTCAGACGCCAAGTCCAAGTTGCAGGTTTAAATAACGGGGATTCCAGTTCTATCTGGACCGAGCCATGGTCTGACCACATTGCAGGTTCTATGGATGCCTTTCTCAATCGAGATAGTCCGTCTTGCTTAATTAGCACGTAGTCAATCCGGGAGCGAACGTTCGCTGAACGTCCGCACTGCATAGAAGCAACAAGAAGTGCCTCTAGCGGTTAATACATACATCCCAAGTGCCCCTTCTTAGGAAGGACAGTGCCCATTTTGGGCACAAATCTATCTTTCTCTCTTTTCTTTTTTTTTAATTAGAGCTGGCTGATGCCATATCGATCCACAGATTATTGTTACCAAAAAAAGAACATAAAATGAGCCAGAAATTGTTATAAACAAATATGACATATATAACAAAGTGACGAAGGACTATTCAGCAGAACATTTTAACTTAACTTGTATCCCTAGGAGACTCAGCCGAGAGCATAAAACTGATGGGAAACTCGTAGAAATCTATTTTCCCTATCCTAATGTCCCTCTGTATGAAATTAGTATCTTGCTGTGTCTGAATTTATACCAGAGCTCCACAGCAATAATACAGTAATATAATGTGTCCTCAAACTTCAATAAATGTGTTTACAAAGCAGTCTGTGGAGATACAATCACACCTACATGACCATGGGCATTCTATATGGACTTGTTTTTTTTCAACATGTTTTTCCTTTCAATAAAATAGTGTCTAGTGTATTCTTTTAATAAGCAGTAGTTTTATTAGTTTAATTAAATATGGAATTTATCAGCCCCAGTTCAAGCCTCCAGTTATACATTTTTCTAATAAAATATGCTAAAATGAGAAAACGAATCAACCCAAATTGTGTCTTTTCCCTGTCAGCGGCCGGGTTTTTATTTAATAATAAATATGACTCCAATCTCTGTATCTATATCACTCTCTACGGTGTTCTAGCAAATGTAACCAGAAACATGGCGGCTGGCGCTCCGAGCGGCGACATGTGTTACGCGGGTAGAGCGCTCCTATTACGTCACCACCGGAAGTGACTCGGGAGACACAGTTGCCTGAGTAACAAGATCAAGCAGGCGCTGCAGGTCGGAGAGGAGGAGCGGGTTCAATAACACCGGAACCATGATGGTAAATAGCGATAGGAATAGGAGTAGGCGCTGAACCCGCTAGTTTATAGAGAATATTAACCCGTGAATGAACACAGTGCAGGCAGAGTTTAATGGCTGATGCAGTAACACACTGTGCTGACAGCTGGGATATTGTGTGTAAACAGGAGAGGCTGGGAGTGCATGGGCTAATTTATATTAATAATGTTATTATTTAACCCCTTAAGGACCAAACTTCTGGAATAAAAGGGAATCATGACCTGTCACACGTCATGTGTCCTTAAGGGGTTAACCATGTCACACTGAGCCCCCCTCATCCACCTCCTACTATGCAGAATGGGGGGAAATACAGATACTTTTTTTAGTTTTTTTTTAACGAAATTTGATTTATTTGTTGTGTGTGTGTATACAGAGTATATATACACAAACACACGCCCAAAAGTATATACAGTATGTAGTATAGTATAGTGTATTTACAGATGTTTTAAATCAGCTTTGTAACATCCCATGCTATTCTCTCCAACTGCCACACTGATATTTAAACATCTGAAATGTAACTGTCACTTTATGTGTCACTGTGTATGTACCCATACCATCTGCTGGGATATAGTGCACTGATTATACGGGATACCTACTTTTGGGCCACCCAATATATATATATATATATATATATATATATATAAATATATATAACAAAATAAATCAAACAATACTTTGAAAAAATACCAAACATATTATTAATGATAATTAATTACATACGCGTATTAGTAACCAGGCGAGTTGGACGCACAGGGACGGAGGGGGGGAGGAGGGAGGGGGGTGGTGGTGGTTGAGGGCCCTGCTCAAACCGTTTACATTGTCCTTTTCTCTCGGTGTAGCTTTTGTATTCTTACAATGGGAAAGTTGGTCTGATTTCACAGGGTTATTTATTAAGCGACACGTTTTCCTGATTCAAATCCAAATTGCAGCATTCAGGTTAAAATCGCCAAAGCTGTTTGCATAACCGAGAATGCGTCCAGCGCAGCTATTTTCGTGCAAGTCTTGTGACTGAGCTAGTAGATTACCCTGATGTACTATATAACTATATTTACAATGACGTGCCAGTCTTGCGGATGGTCGAGAATCAAGGGAAATGTAGTTTAGAAATATCCGGGATGCCAGAGTTACCGATTACCATTATGTAGGGTGGCCACGTGCTGTGACCCCAGTTGAGAAGTATCTCTGGTGCATCAGTGTTTTAAGAGGTCCATCAGCCCACCCTCACACTCCTGCTACAGGTATGCTTACCTGCTTCCTGGCTGTCAAGCAGGTAATATAGATGATGTCTGTATTATAAGGATTTTTGCACAAAAGGCATTGATTTGTTATATGATAAGAATTAGGACTCCTATTTGTTTCACTTATATTTCAAAGGGAAACTCCAGGCTCAAAATGACCCACATTTTAATATATAGATAATGAATTGAAACATATGTAAAAACAAAACATGAAGTAAAACATACTCTCACGTTCTCACAGTTGCTGAAAACCCCCAAACACGTGATGTTTGCCCAAACCAGGAATTGGCTCTTCCAGTTGGGAACCTTTCATTACAGCCTGCAAGATCAGGGCTAAGTAGCTCAGGCACTGACATTAGATCAACTCGTCTCAAATGATTACAACTGCTGAATGAGTTGATAGGTTCTATCGGCCTCTTAACACTTACATTCAGAGTTTGGCAAAAAATACATACACTGTGAATGTCTGATTGCAAAACCAAAATCTAACAAAGCTAGTTGAAAAAGTGGGGCCTTGACAGCTTGCACCCAACCTGTGTGCCCACCCTGTGTTTGGACAGGCAGATGAGTACCGTAACTATAACTTACTTTACTGACAATAGAGACAGGCTTATAGCTGCAGTGATTAAGAAACAGAAGTGCAGAAGGCAGACAGAATCCAAGAGGTAAGGGCCTCCTTGATCCATAACCTATACAGCAAGAGTAAGTTGTTATAGTGTTCTTGTCTTAATTTGAGAAAATGCTCTAGCAGTTTTATCTTGGAGCAGTTTAGTAGTGTCTCAAGTGAAGTTTAAAATGCTAACATATTTTGAAGGGCAATCTATATTTATATTTGTTACTGAACAAGGATAGTAAAATTCAAACAAATTGTAAAGTACTATGGTTAGAATTGGTATTCCAGGTGTAATAAGTATCTGGATTAAATGAAGATTATGTCCTCCTGATTGAACAAGTGGATATTATGTCCCCCTGATCCTGACCTCAACTGTCAAGTGAAGATTATGTCCCCCCTGACCTCAACCGCCAACTGTCACTCTTTGAACTCAACCATCACTGTCATTCTTACAGTATATATATATATATATATATATATATATATATATATATGTTACAGTTAAAGTGCAGAAATCCGTTAATGTGCACATTAACTCGGCTGATCAGTTAAAGTGCAGAAAATTGTTTCATTTCTCAAAGATTTCTCACATTACCTACTAGGCACTAGTTAAAGTGCAAAATAAGATATTTTGCTGGAACAACAGCAACGTTTAAGAAGCAAGTTAGTACAATCAAACAAGAATCAAGTTAACATAATGTTATTTATTTAGCAACAAAGAAGCAAGTTTCTGTTACAAAACTGCAATAGAAAGAATCAAACGATTAAGGAAATTAATTTGCTAAACAAACATATTATAAAACTATGCTTACTTATTAGTGCAATCTAAAGATTGGCGACACTTTCAATTACATAGCAATTGTTTTTTGTGACAAGCACACCTATTTGTGGTACATTTTCGATTTGCAGTCACATTTTCGGAAACCCTGCCCAGTATCAAGGGATTGTTTGATTGCTGTTTGACGTAAAGGTATTTCTACAGCAGGGACATCTTCTTTCGTTAAAAATCTCTCTTTGCAAACACTCAATTCCGATTTGGCATACAATTGTTTCAAAATATCAGTTCTAGTACCAAGTTTATAAAAGCCATTCTCTGTTTTAATAAGAACCACAGCTAAAAATCGAGCATTAGTTTTTGCTCTGTCCACTTCGGGTACTTTAATTCTCACAGTGACTCCTTAGTCGACATTTGGCTGCTTTGCATTATAAACTGCTAACATTTTCTTTGCTTGCTTTTCTAAACCTTTCTAAACCACATAGTCACATACCTCCTCTTCAAACCGTTATCCCAAACTGGTAAGAAACGAGGAGCCTCCCACCACCACCACAAGAGAGCGAGCGCCTTCCTGCACATTATGCAGCAACCACCCTGAAATGATCCAGCAGATGCAGATGCTCTCCACTGTTCTCAATATCACCATCATCATCATATTTGAAGGACTGTCAGAATCAGTGGTCCATGAGCAGACCTCTCCTTGGTCTCATTCTCCTCAATGAGAAGTATTTCTCGGACTTAAGGAGCAGCATTGTTGTTAGTAGCAAGCCCCCCTCTGAGAAACAACAAGCTATGCGTCTATGCTTTGAGAATTCGAATGGAGGGCATTGAAAAGGAACTTGCTCACAAAAGTATCGAGTCAGGTTCACACAAAATCTTTCTGCATTCAGACGACAAGTGAACGACTCTGCAGAGACTGCACTGAAAGGGTGAAACAGGTTCTGCTGCGAGGACGTTTTGTAATAAATAATTCCTCTTTACCGAGGGAAAGAAACAAACTTTTGCACTGAAAAAGGGTGAAACAGGTTTCTGCAAGGCCGTTTTGTAATAAATAATTTCCTCTTTATCCAAGGGGAAAGAAACAAACATTTTGCACTTTAACTAGACGGAAGCAGTTAATCTGCACATTACCAAGGTAAAGTGCGGAAAACTCTCGATTCCGCACTTTAACTGAGCAAATCAGTTAATCTGCAGATTAACTAGGTAATGTGCACATTAACTGATTTCTCACTCTAACTGTAACATATACACTACTGTCACTTTTGGGGTATATATAAGTCACTCTTGGGGTATGTTAATTGCCAGTTTGCTATTTTGTTTTGTTGCCCTCAAATTAAAATGGATCGACACTTTGAGAACACACTCCAGCCTATTATAACTTGTACGAATAACACCAATGTCATCGACTTCATGAAACAGCGCTGTTTACTTGCAAACAATCTGGACTGTGAAAACTGTCATCAACCTCTGCATCGGATAGCTCGTCGCCAATATTCTGATGGATATTCCTGGAAATGTATTAACAAGAATTGTGCTTCTTTGTGGTTAGCCATCAGAAAAGGCTCAAAATTGCACATCTCACTGAAAAAGTGGCTAAACATTGCTTACCTCTGGTGTTTGGAAATCTCTGAAAAACAAGTTGCACAACTGACTGGAAAAATCAGAACGCACTGTAGTTGACGTTTATAACATTTATTGTGAAGTATGTAGTGTTTAAGCACGTTTCATTCAATAAACCTTTTTTTAAATATTCATTTTACTTTATTTCAACTACATGTGGGGGACATATACTTCATTTGTGTGAAGTTTATGTTTTATGTCATATGAGAAAGTTATATGATTCAATTGAGATTTTCTCTATGGGTGTTATTAGCTCATCCTATAGACTCATGTAGGGTTATTTAAGTGAGCATTGTCATAAATTCAAAATGAATATCGAACTTAACCCCTTAAGGACACATGACATGTGTGACATGTCATAATTCCCTTTTATTCCAGAAGTTTGGTCCTTAAAGCGGCACTGTCATGCCGAACTTACCTTTCCTCAATCTCTTCCTCTTCTCCCCCTCTCTCAGGATCTGTTCTTCTTTTCTCCCTGTCTTCTTTAGTTTTCATTAAAATCATAAGACAAAGTAGGGACTCTTTGCCTTATGGAGGATTCCTCCGCTTGACCAGCTCTGACCAGCGGAGGAGCAAAGTGTGCTTCATTTCCGCTGATCAGAGCAATTTTCCCATGATCCCTAGCTTTCCTCAGTGTTCCCACAATGCTTCCTGTCATTTTACATGAAACTGCCGAATTGCGTTCTAACTGAATGAGAACAGTATGTTCGTTTCTTTTAGAACGCAATTCGGCATTTTATTCGGATCGGAATTTCATTCTAATGAATGAAACTCTGATCCTATTCATTGCTGTGGCTGCATTTTGCAGCCGCTTAGTAGATAACTCCCTAATTCCCACGGTATCAGGGAGTTATCTACTAAAAGGCTGAAAGACCTAAATTGGTCTAACAGCCAACTTTACTAATACTAAGTAAAGATTACTTAGTATTAGTAAATTAAATGCCCCTACTCGCTATACCGCGAGTAGGGGCATGTGTAGTAAGCAGTGAGCAGCTTATAGCTTATAGCTGCTCACTGTAAAAAAAAAAACAA